TTTAACTTATTAATTGAAAGGTGCAGACAACTGGTCGTACAACGGGTGCCACCCCCCTTTTACCCGCCCCCCCCATCAAGAAAAATTTCAGCCGCCGCGGGCCTGGGACCGTATCTTATCTAAGCAGTTTGGTTTGGCTTACAGTTGATCTATCTAGGCAGGCAGTATAGGTATGTAGAGTTAGGCGAGGGAGGGAGTCCAGAGTTCCTCAAATAGTAATCACCGCCACCCAAATCTGTTTTGCGGCAAGCGCGCTCCTCAATTAGTAATCACCGTAAAATTTTGTTTTCTGTGATTTGAATTTAATGCACTTTTAACACAATTTTCGACATCTATCGGGGTTTTATGGCATCTGTATTGACTTAAACTAAATTTTTTAATTATTTTCAGATTTTTTTGGTCAACAAAAACTGAGAATCAAGGCACAGTTCATTTTAGCCAAATCTTAGATCCAATTCGCCACTTTAATGACTGCATTTCATGATTGGCGTCAAGATACAAAAAAGGTCGGGCTGCCTGTTTACTAAAAATTATCTCATCGCGCCCAAAGTAATATCAATCTCCATTTAAAAGATATTTTCAAAAAACCTTTACAGTGTTTAGATTTTTGTATTCGCCTACTCGAGTTCAACATCTACAACAAAACTAATTATATGCATAGAAAGAACTAAAATTTTGAAAAATTAGTCTCATCACACCAACTACTGAAAATGAAGTGTTTAGTCCACTAATAATGGGTTAAAGTTTCCTCTCTATATAAGGAGTTTAAAACAACATTCAGAGGAAAATGCCTTTTGTTTTTTTCCTAAATATTTTTATATAGATATTTTATAGATATGAATATGTTATATCTATATTTATTGAACCAATAAAGGAGCCAAAAATTACTGACCTTCTGGCCAAAAGATACAAATGTGTGTCCTATAGGCTTATTTTGTATAGAATTAGTACCAGGTTCTTAGTGTAAGCCACCATCATTTGAACCAATAAAGGAGCCAATAAAGAACGTTTAGAATGATGTATTTCTAACGGAGTCAAACAGGTTGTTTTATCGAGACTTGGAGGAACCTCTCTAGCTCATATCCTGACTTGAACTGCTTGTTGGTTTGTCTTGCAGGATTGAGGTTGCCTGTTTTGTTCAAGGTCTGCGTTCTTTGTGTACCCAGGGAGCCAGTGCAGGGGTTTCATAAAAATACATAATTTAATTAATAATCATATAATTACAATTTGTTATTTTAATAAACGAAATAGAATTGGTGCAGTTTTTTATATCTTTTAGTTTTTTGTGAAAAATATATTAAAGTTTATGTTTTTGTATTTGATGTTTGTTTGATCCGGAAATATCTGTTTTTTTTACGTGGATGTAGGGTTCTTTGTCTGCTGAAAGGTAGGGCTAAGTATTTTGTTTGAAGGTTAAGCGTGGAGCTTTAGAATTCATACTTTATGAGAACCCACGCTTTAGATTTATGTAGCAATATATATATATCTATATATATATATTTGTGTATATTTCTTTGAACCTGAATAAATGCTTCTTTTGATGTATTATTAACTGCTTTATTTCAACATTAACAATTCAGTAAATGGTGTATTAATTAATGTTATAACAGGAAATATCAAATCAGATCCTAAATAATCTACAATAGGCTTTTTCATCATATTAAAAAATCTTTTTACACAAACAAATTTTCTTTCATTGTATTTTACAGAAGAACTACATCCTACAACTGATCTCAAACTCACATAGTTGTTGTCTTTACTAATTGAACGGAAACTTTTGAATGGTGTCATAAGCTCCTCTCTTTTTTCTATTCTATGGAAATGTTTTTGAATTGTCATTAAGCTTTTTTCTAGGTCTATTGTTATAATTACTGATATCATATCATTCACATTTGTATTTACATTTGGAATTTTATCAATTAAGTCGAAGAATTTTTCAATAAGGTTCAAAATGGTTTTCCACGTAAATTTTGTTTCATCCGTTTTTAACATTAGTTTTAGCAGTTTTGCTCTAACCTCATTATCAAAACCCTCTAATCTTATCTCTGTGTTTAATTCCCTCTTTTTGTATAAACTATTTCATCACTAGCTTGAATGTTGACAGGAAACTCAGGAGTATTGCATACTATTCCCCCCCCCCCCACAGGCCTATCCTCCACATCCACAGAAGCATCATCATCCTAATAATTTGGACAGCTTTAGTAAGGCTGGTCTACTGAAATGAGTCAAATCAGACCCTGTCAAGGACCAAATCCATTGACTATTCATGGCTTTCATTAAATATTTGTTGCTGACGACACGTACCTAGTGTTTCATTGTTCCTTGATCTTATAATCTTTAACCTATTCATCTAAGTTCGAAACCTAGCTTTTTCTTCAATATCCTCCCAAAATGTGCAATTTGGGTGTCCAGCTATTTTTTTGCATCTCGGCTGTGGTTCAATTACTCGCACTTCTCGTGTGTGTGTTCGAAAATGGAGGTCCAGTAGCAAATTTAATTTTACTGTAACTTCGTCAGACATTTGTGCCCTTTGCACAGTTTAAAAGGATACAAATCGTTTCCTGACACTATTATATTTTTAATCTCCTGTTCAACGAAATAACCAACCTTAAATTCCCTCCTTTTTTAATTTTAAGTAATTATCCTCCCTATTTACAGGGAGGATAATTACTTATCCTCCCTATTTACAGGGAGGATAATTACTTATCCTCCCTATTTACAGGGAGGATAATTACTTATCCTCCCTCTTTACAGGGAGGATAATTACTTATCCTCCCTATTTACAGGGAGGATAATTACTTATCCTCCCTCTTTACAGGGAGGATAAGTAATTATCCTCCCTCTGTGATCCATACAGATTTAATTCAAGATTTAGATCAAGAAATTAAATATTCTTCCATATGCATTAGTAAGAAATAAGAGAATTAAAATCATAATTGATAGTTTTATTGATTTCATTATTATTTTATCCCCCACGGTTGGTTATTTCGTTGAACAGGAGATTATAACTATTAATTACTACTTAACCGGGAGATTAAGGGAGGATAATTAAATTGAGGGGAAAACCACTTAGCCGAGGGCCTCCAAGACCTTTTTGGGGTTCTAAACCTCACGCTAAGTAGTAATTAATAGTTATTTCTACAAATCCCACCTCTAATAAACTTTCCTGAACATATCCTATAGAAATCTTTCCCTTAAAAAAAATATGATCCCTTAGATATAAGGAGCCAATTGTCTTGCCAGGCTACTATACATTTTTTTTCTAAATAAAAAAATTATACATAATGATATTTTAATTTAGTTTATTCTGTGTTAATAATTAATCTATGTTTGCAGTATATGTTTACGCTATTTGTATATGTTTATAGAAATACCAGTGACAGTTTTAAAATAAATATATTTGCGTACAAATTTCACTCTATCCCCGTAGTAAATTTGAATTCGAACAGGACCTGCCCAGTATGTACCGGCCTGCCAGATAACAGCGTGTACTGACCCGATCCTATGGTACAGTACATCGCCCTAACCAGACTAACATACAACAGGGGTCAATTTTCTTGGCATAGTCCCGTGAGAGGGCTAACTATGACAACTCCCATGGCGCGTTCAGAATTTTTACAGTACCCGTCCTAATCCTAGGCCTATTTGACCGACCCCACTGGCTTAGTCCACCGTGATTTTTAGTTAATTATACTTATATCAATTTCTTTCAATTGTCTAGTAGATTTCTAATCAGTAATATCGTAAATAATTTTTATATTTGTAATGTTTCAAATAATTTTAGACATATTTACCCTAAATCTGTGTACCCCCTCCCCCCTNAGTACTGGACTTTACTGGGGTATACTGGGGGGTGGGGTGGGACAGAAGCCAAACAGAATTTTTTATTTTTAATAAAAACATATTAGTAGTCAGAAAAACTTCTAAGCATATTTTCTTTATAGTTTTGCCTATTTTCATGGACAAAAAAGCTAGTTTAATATTAATCAGCTGATCACTGAATGGATGGAGGGAGGAATTGTAACCACGCCAATTTGTAATCCCCATATCTGCAGGGTACTGTTGGGTACTGTTGGGTACTGCGGGGTATACTGAGGGGTACTGAGAAGTGCTATGGGGTACTGCAGGGCAATATGGGGGTACTGTAGGGTACTGTGGCTACTGCAGGGTACTGGAGGTACTGGGGGGTACGGGGTACTTGGGAGTACTATGGGGCACTGTGTGGTACTGTGGGGGTACTGCATGGTACTGCTGGTTACTGCTGGTTACTTTTGGGTACTGGGGGGTACTGTTGGGTACTGGATTGTACTGGGGTGCACTGAAGTGCACTAGGGGGTTACTAAGGGTACGGGGGGGGGGTACTTAACGTTCTGGGGAGTAATAGAGAATACTGTATGGTACTGTAGAGTACTGTGGGGTACTGCAGGGTACTGCCAGGTACTGCTGGGAACTAGGTGCATACTGGGGGAAGGAGGGGGTACTGGGGGTACTTTGGGATACTGCAAGGTACTGCAGGGTACTGGGGCTACTGGGGGATACTGAGGGTAGTGGGGGGAACTGTGGGTTATTGTAGGGTACTGTTGGGTACTGCTGTGTACTACTGGGTACTGGGGGGTATTTGGTGGTATTGGGTGCAGGTGGGGGTACTAGGGTTAAGTACTCAAAACTGAAAATTTGCACTGTTTAAAGGTAAATTAAAAAAATAGAATCTTTTTTGAGGAAATCTGTAATGCTCAGGTAATGACATTCAATAAAGTGATTTTTTTCATATTTTCGCTCTGTAGACCTCAAGCCATTTGTCTCATTGCCCACCATGCATAAAATGAAGTAAGATTATCTTTGTAAAATGTAAAAAATTTTAGATATATCATTTTTTAAGTAATGGGGTTCATTTTTTTAATTTTGTAATTTGAATGAACTGAATTTATCATTCTAAAAAATAGAGATAGGGTTCAAAAAGAAGCTTTATAACTAGTTAAAACTTTTAACAAACATTAAAATCAACGAAGTTTAATTTATTATTAATTTAGTATTTAGCATTACAATTTTCTGCATGGTTAAATTTTTTATGTTTAATCACACAAAAAGAATTGATACAGTTATATACTATGAAAGTCTACCAAACACTTTTCTGAAATCTGAACTTCGAGTTGTTGATCGTGGCCTACGTGTGGTCCCACCAGCATAATCTGTAAAAAAATGTCAAAGGGTCATACAATTTTTAGAGAATACATCCTAAGATACTTGAACTAAGGGAGACAGCTTCTTTTTAAAACTAAACAGATCCTTTCCTATGCACACATGGTGAAACAGGGCCTTGATAGGTAGATCTAAAATATTGGACTTAAAATAGTTTGTATATGTAGTAAAATACAATATTTTAATGTTTATGTTTTTGACTTTAAGAGTTTTTCTTAGCTTATAAAATAGGCTTTTAGGCTTCTTGCATTTTTGACAGAACTGCATGGTGAAAGAAGGTGAGAAATGATGAAAAGAACAATAATTAGAATTTTTCTGTATTAACTCTACCCAATTTATAAAAATTCTTAAAAAGAAAAATATTCTATAACCTGCACCATAGCTCCCATCTCTTTGACACAGGTTGTCCTTGTTGCAAACCAGATCCTCCGGGCAATCTTTAATCCCATCACATGCAGGTAATACTTTGCAAACTTTGGTTTCGCAACAATATTTGCCATTACCGCATTGTGAGTCTTTTTCACAGGTATCTATAGAAAAGACAATTAAGCAATGTGTATTCAATCTTTATTTGCATTCAGGTTCCCTAAGACATATGTCTTCTTCCTTTTATAGCTAAATGATTTTTTTTAAATTTATAAAACAAAAATCATCTTGTCAAATTTAAAGAATTTAAAATGAATTATCTATAAATAATTTCACAAACTATTTAATATGATTAATTTATAACAAAAAATCTTTGCTGTTATTATGTTATATTTTTTTTAATTATGACTTAAAATATTTACAATTATAATAATGAAAATCTAGTATAAATGAAAATATTCCAAAAAAATAAGAATTCATAATAATTAAAAATTGATCATTTAAAATTATTTTTTACGACTAAAATTATTTTAGCTCTGTAACCTTTGATGGCAGAATCTCCATAGCCTTTCTCAGCAGAATCTCCATAACCTACTTCAGCAGAATCTGCAGACTTTCCTAGAAAAAATGTTTCTGCAAATTATTTTGGGTCTAAATTTTCTCTAATCTCTACATCTTCAACATTTCTATAATCTCTAAATATTCATCTACCTGCACCATAGCTTCCATCTCTTTGACACAGGTTGTCTTTGTTGCAAACCAGATCCTCCGGGCAATCTTTAATCCCATCACATGCAGGTAATACTTTGCAAACTTTGGTTTCGCAACAATATTTGCCATCACCGCATTCTGAGTCTTTTTCACAGGTATCTATAGAAAAGATATTTGAGCAGAGTGTTTTTTTCTTAAACATAAGTCTTCTTCTTTTCATTGCTAAGTTATTAAAAGAAAATGTTTGAAACAAAATTAATCCTCCAGATTATCAAATTTAAATGATTTTAGTCCTTGTATAAAGTTAAATAATAACAAAAAATGTTTGTAATAATTTAAAATATTCATGAAACCCTAAATATTTACAATAATTATAATATAAATATTTTAATAATAAGAAAAATAATCTATAATAAAAAACTAGAAATATTTGTAATAACTGAAAATATTTTTTAACAAATAAAAAATTTCATGAGGCCTCAGGTTTATGAGTAATCAAAATTTCAAAAATCTTCCTCCAACAAAATTTGATTTTCATTAAATTTTTAAACATTTTGAAAATTTAAGAATTTTTTTTAATGAAATCCAAGAATTTTTTTGTTTTGTTTTACAATGTACAAAAAGAGTAAATGTTCACAATTGAAATAGAAGATGTGCGTAGAGCACCCTAAAAGCCTAGTAATAATCAAATATATATATTATAGCTTAAAATATCTACTTTTATTGATTAAAATTATTTATATCATCCAAAAAAATCTAAAATTGATAATAATATGTAATAATAATAATATATAAAATATTTCACAATAATTAAGAATTGTTTTTTATGATTAAATATGAATTAACTCTGTAACCTTTGTCAGCAGAATCTCCATAACCTTTGTCAGTAGAATCTGTGTAACCTTTGTCAGCAGAATCTGTGTAACCTGTGGTGGCAGAATCTGTGTAACCTTTGTCAGAATAATCTCCATACTTTCCTAGAAATTAAATGTTTCTACAAATTTCAATTATTGGACAGATACTGTGGTAAACAAAATACAGTGGAATGAATGTCATCCCCTTTCTTTCTTGATATGAAATTTTGTATTTGGATCTGATATTTCTCTTAAAGTGGGATCTATATATTTTTATCATCTTAATTAATTAAATTTTGAATTTATTTCAAACTCCATTTCTGAATTAAAATAGTAAAAGCAATTATTTATCATATAACTTAAACAATATTCAACACACACACTGTATATCTGCCATCCAAAACATCCTTTCTCAAAAGCAATTTTTATGTAATCTATATTCAATATAATCTACCCAAGTAAATTATTTATGATTAATTTTCAATAATTATTTAATATAATTAATTTATGACAATAAATCTTTGCTGTTATTATGTTTAAAAATATCTATTTAAATTATGACTAAAATATTTTTATTAATCAAACAAATTAAAATTCTTTAAAATATTTAAATTATGACTTAAAATATTTTGATTATTATAATTAAAATCCATTATAGCTGAAAATATTCGAAAAAAATAAAGAATTTATAAAATTATTTAAGCTTTGTAACCTTTGTTGGCAGAATCTCCGTATCCTTTCTCATCAGATTCTCCGTATCCTTTCTCATCAGAATCTCTGTATCCTTTCTCAGCAGAATCTCCATAACCTACTTCAGCAGAATCTGCAGACTTTCCTTTAAAAAATTATTCTGCAAATTACACGGATATGATAAGAAATTTTGAATTTTAGGTTTAAATTTTCTCTACATCTTCAACATTTCTATAATCTCTCTAAATATTCATCTACCTGCACCATAGCTCCCATCTCTTTGACACAGGTTGTCTTTGTTGCAAACCAGATCCTCAGGGCAATCTTTATTCCCATCACATGCAGGTAATACTTTGCAAACTTTGGTTTCGCAACAATATTTGCCATCACCGCATTGTGAGTCTTTTTCACAGGTATCTATAGTAAATTATTTGTATTCCACACAATATTAGACAGCAATGAAAAAGTCAAGTTTTTGACAAATAAACCAACTTTCAAGCAAAGTCAGTAGGTTTTTTTTAGTAAAGTGTATTTCCTTTTCTTTCTATTTATAATAATCTAAATATTTATAATAACTAAAATTTCATGATAATTAAAAATATTTATGATAATTAAGATATTTGTAATAATTTAAACTATTTATAACAATTAAATTTATTTTAAAACATTTATAATAACTAAAAGTATTTATAATTTCTAATTAAAAATGTTTTCAATGATTTGAAACATTTAAAATAACTAGAAATATTTATAATATCTAAATAAAAATATTGATTATAATAAATGTTTTTGTAATAATCAAAATATTCAGAGTAATTAGATATATTTATAATAATTGCAAATATTCATAATAAGTAAAAACATTTTAGAAAACTCTAAATATTTATAAAAATTAAAACTACATTTGATAATTTCAGACATTTATAATGACTAAAATGTTTAATATAATAAAAAAAATTAATAAAAACTATAAATACTTTTTCCCAATTGGGCTATTTTTGTCTAAAATAGATTAAATGATTTTGCCCTTAAAGTTGAGATACGGGAGTGTGATACATGTTCCTAGTCATTTTTCAAGGCCTACTCATTAAATAAATAGACCTCTATCTTTAATGGTTGGGTGCAAGGGAGGATTTTTTAAAAAGTTCAATAAATAAATATTAAAAAATACCCCCCTCCCCCCACCCTCCCTTTATCATGATAGGATTAGATAATTGAAAATATATTTAACAATTAAAAATATATATAATGATTAAAAATATATATAATGATTAAAAATTTTTATAATAATTAAAATCATTTGTTATCAATAAAAATGTTTACCTCCATAACCAGTATTGGAATAATCTCCGTACTTTCCTTAAAATAAAAACTATTCAACAAATTACACTCTTACAACAGATACAATGATTAACAAAGTAATTTGGAATGATCATCATCTCGTTTCTATCTTATTTTTAGGATTTTGATGCTTGTTTCTGAATTTTCTGTACAAGTGTGCTTTAGACATTTTCAGCATTTTAATTAAAACAATTTTGAATTTCAAACTACATTTAAGAATTAAAATGAAAAAGAACGCCTACAACATTGCAATTATTTATCATTTATTCTAAACCATCCCCCCCCTTCCCCCATGGTGGGGTATTTACATTGTATCAATTGTAGCATGTATTATTTTTAATAATTTTAGTTTATAATTACTTTTCCCATTAATATTTTTACCCTTGAATATATTATAAGTTAATATAACTATGTGTTTTTTATTCTTTATTTTTAAAAAAAAATTCAATTGTGAACATGCTCTCTTTGAATGCACGTAAAAAAAAATTTGCATATTTCACAAAATAATTTCATGGATTTTAAAAATTTTTAAAAATTCTATGTAAATTTTTTTAATTTGGATCATTCATAAAATTTCCCTGGGGTCCTGTGAGGTGCACAAAAAATTTGTGCCTGAATGGTTCAGCTGTTTAGACATTTATTGGATAAAAACAAACAGACATTCAAGCAAAGTATAAATATAATTATATATAGATTGGTTTACCTCCTGGTTTCACAGCTCCAAGATCATCCTTTGTCTCAATCAGATAGTTCTTGCAATTTCCTTATTAGACAACATTTTTAATCAAAATTTAATTTTGTTTATGGTTTTATCATTTTAATGTTTTAACTCTCATTTAAAAACATTGTTAACGGTCAAATCTATACACCGTTGCAAGATATTCTAAGATTTTCTTCATAAAATCCTCAGATAGTATTTCTACATTTGATTAGTTCATTTTATGATTCTTTCTCAATTACTTTCCATCATACCTTAATCTTATTTGTCAGAGCAAGATTTTTAACCCAGTAATCTTAGGTATAGCGCAGGGTTGGGGAGTAGAAGGGGGGGGGGAACAAGGGAGCAAGGTTAGATATTTGAGGCAGCAGTGGGGTACAGATAAATTACAGAAGGTGGGGAGCAAAAATAACTCTAAACAAGATAGAGGGGAGGGACTGTTTGTCAGACCCCACTAGTTGTTTTCCAATCTTATTTTTGAAACTAAGTAATTAAACAGATTTTGTCACAAAAGTTAGTTTTTCAGAAATGAACTAAAGAGTTTGTTAGCAAATGGCATGCACCATTGATGATTTAAAAAATATTTTCGTCCATTCTCTGTTTTTGTGGTTAAAATAAAAGTGTTAGTTTCTTTACAGAACATGAAAAGGTTTTGAGACTTTAAATGAAACCATTTTGAATTCTTGAAACACTTTATATCACACTAGTACGTGAAGCAATTCTGGCTGGCAAGCACATTTTTGGAACAGGCAAGGGCCAGCCCACCTGGTCTTCAAATCTTGCTGAGATCTAAGAACTTTCTCCGACATGTCAAAATACTAAATATTGCTGTCAAAACAAATGGCTACCAAACACTTTTTTTTATTAGTTTCACCTTACTATTAACAAGGAAGTGGGAAAAAGTCAAAACATGCCCAGCTCTGGCCATAACCCGGAAAAAACCAAATCTGTGCTTCTGTTTATAAATTTCCTTGAATGATTGTATCCAGTGAAACCCTGCAGAGTAAATGTTGTCTTTGTTATTTTTTTAATTCCAGAAATTTTGCTAAGGATTTTATAATTTATAATTATTGATTACAATTGTCTTTTTTTAGAAAAAGTTTATTTACAAAATCCTTTATTATAAAAGGAAAAGAGACTTTATTTCTGGTTGTTATTAAAAAATATATTTATTTGTATATAAAAATGGTTTCCTGAAAGGAATTGTGTGATAAGGACAGTAAAACAGATTACTAGCTGACTCTCCATTTTTAACTGACTTCTAAAAAAAATATACATAAAAAATTGACTGTCAAAATATATTTTAAAGCCTAATTATGAAATCTGATCTTCAATTAAAATTACTTCTAAAATTAAGATTTTTACTTTTTTCTCTTCTTTAATGATCCCTCACAAACTGTTTTAAGTAGGTATGGACTTAAAGGGACTGTAGAGGTAATTTTGGCGACTCTCCAAACTAGACTCTTTTTGGAATATTTTACACAAAACAGCAAATGAAAAAAATGATTTTATTGTTTTAAGAGATTGTAAAAAAAAAATTGTTTTAAACTTTGTATGCAGAAAACAACAAGGTTCTTAGAGTATTTTGTGCATAATTTTGCGTTCAAGCTAGGGCGATAATTTTATACAAGAAACTCTAATATTACCTGATTTTTCATATTTTGGGTTAAAGAATTAAGCAAATAGCGTTTCATTGGCAGTCAACTCAGAAAAATTTTTGGATATCCTTCTACAAGTTCTTTAAGATGCTCATTGAACCAAAAATCAGTTGCTGAAAGGAGGTGTGATATGGATAGGGATGGATCCTTTTCACTTTTATTTTTATTGGAACGACATAGAAAAAGCGAAAAACTAAAAAGTGATTGTTTTTAAAAAAAGGTTTGACATTTTAGTAAGGAAAGTAGGTCGTTTTTAATTTTTGTCAATTGTAAACGACTACCTTTTGTTAACGATCATTAATGATCTTTTAAAGACAAAATTCAAAGTAATACAAAGTACAAAGAAAAGTGTTAACAATTTCAAGCTACTTATTTAATAAATAAATACACATAAATACAAATGCTAAACACCACTATTGTAAAGCTTTAAACAAATATGTGATATAACTGAATAAATATGCATATCTATCTAAATTTGATTACAAGCTAATAAACAATGACATATTTATAACTTTCTGCTTATATTTTTTATTAATTAATATTTAATTACAATCTGAATCTCTACAGAGTTTAAGTTCTGTCTTCTTGAAGAAAGAAACACCACCTTTCGGACCTTGAGGGCGCAGACGGTAATACAAGAACATGCTCCTTCCACCTAGACGGTCGCCATGTGCCTAGGAATATATGAATGGTGTGATAGGATAAATTTATGAATGAGATGCTGCGCCAAAAGAATTCATTTTGTGCAAAATTTGAAATTCAGTGCAAAAGTTTACAAATTATGCTCAATGTGCAGAATTGCGCAAAAATTAACTTCAGGTTAAAATCCTGTATTCCTAACCAACAAGGCAAACATTAAATATAAATCTATACATATTATATACATATGTAAGAGTGGATGTTTAAAGGGAGCTAAGGGGATGGCTTGCCTCTGTAAATTTGGGATTAAACAAACTTAGACCTATGAGTTACCGGATAAAGGTCCCACACAACTGAGGAGACCCAGGGGATCAGTATTAATGTATCCATGTATCCACATGTAAATATGTATAGTATCCATGTATCCATACTTATAAAGTATGGGTAAGTGTATGTAGGAGGGGCTATGTTTGGGTGAAAACTGACCCGTGATAAAAGAGTTGGATACCAATTTTTCTCTGTATCTGAGCTTCTTGCCACTAGAATTCGAGGAGTTTCAAAGAATGGAAGATCACTGTATACAGTTTAACTCAAGAAGCTTAACCCTATTAGAGATTTGTTTAGTATCACAGTCAATCAGATGTGTTCTAATTTTGAACTCATTTTTCCTATTAAAATTATTCTAATTTATACTTTTTTGAATATTGAAGTACAAGAGTTTTCTTATATCTCCATTCATTGCTACTATAGAAATGGGCATTGTATTTGTGAACAAACAAAATTGTTCATGAACAATGGTATCATTCAGCAAAGTTAATGAGTGGATTTGATTATTTAGAGGAATTGAAAAACTTCGTTTTTTCAAAACGAACAAAATATTTTGTTTTTTAAAATTGTTAATGATCTTTTTATTTTATTGTACTTCACTGAACAAATAAATTATTTGAACGAAGTTTTGAAAAAGTTTTTGCTTTTCTTACTATTTTTATTTATTTACTTACTATTTTTATTAAACTATCAATAAAATGAATTAATTGTTTAGTTAGAAAACAAAGGAATTGGATGAAAATTGATGGAAATGAATGGTAATTGTGAGAACAAGAAGTTCAAATTTTTTTTAAGCCAAATAAAAAAAAATAACAAAATTGGTTGTTAATGAACAATCAATTTGGAAAAAAAATTGTATTGTAATATTGTTCTATATTTAGTCAGGACATACTCAAATCTTGCTAATTGTGGCTTCCCAAGTTTGATAGTTGATCTAAACTGTTCCTTGCTGTTGTGATATAAATGTTCCCGTTCCATCCATGGTAAACCATTACCCATAGTTCCAGGTACTTGTTCCAGTGTAGAGAGGGGTTCCCACCTAGAAGAAAATGTTACAAATCCAATCAATTTTACATAAATGCTTAGAGAAATATATTTGCATGGCTGTATCATTAAAATAATAATGAGAATAGCTCAATTATACTAACAACGCATATATTTCCATGTGTGTTTAATATTTTAAATAATCATTATAATCATAAAAATAATCATAATTTAGTATTACTGCATAAAAACATAAGATTTGATTATTTATTATTTATTTTGCATTTTAATGCACATAGAATTTTATGCCAAAGAGGTTCAAGCATATTTTTTCATGAATTTTTCTAGTGATTTGAAACTATTGAAATCTTGGAGTAACATTTTTAAAGTTCAATAGAAAAAATTGGTGATATTAAAAGAATAAAAATAAAAATAAAGATCAACCTGGCTGTAAAACATTTCCATTGTAATCCCTGTACAACAAATATTCATATTTTTTTGACTCATAGATTAAAAAATGTAAAATTTTATTAAATTTTATGATTATAAAATCTTGATATTTGTTCCTAAGTGGTTCCATATCATCGACTAAGCTATTTCTAGAGAACTCTGATCCATCCCATTTTTTCCAGCCAGACATCTCACCGTTCTATACATCATGAATTCAAATATAAAGCAGACCATCAAAATGTAGAAATGTCAACATATATCTATAAATAGCAATAATCAAGTACAAATAACAAAAGGTGGTACCGGAGATAATGAAAGTATTCATTACAACTGTTATTACATCACTGGTATAAAGTAAACGTCTTATTAAATAGACTGGTGGATTGGACCTCTGTTAGGGTTAGATCAACAATCAAGTGTTAAATTAACCCTATCCCAATTGGGCTAGTTTTGTCTAATATAGATAGATTTTGGGGGCTGTGAAACATGTTACTATAGTCCAATTTTTCAATGCCTTCTTATTATAAAAATCAGACCTGTAACTTCAATGGGAGGATTTTTAAAAAGTACAAAAATTTCAAATTTTTTGTTTACTTTGGACAAATATTAACATGTGACACATGTTATAAATATCCAATTTTCAAAGGCTTTTCAATAATATATGTTTTAGCCCTGTAGATTGATTAATAAAAAAAGGTATTAACCCTTTTTGATTTTTCGAAACATTGACCCACTGTTTTACCTTCCTCCATCTTAACCTATGCATCAAAAAAAGTTTGTTCACAACTATGAAGTTAAAAAAATGAATAAGTTTTGCGTTCTAATGTAAGCCCTTAATCATGGTAGGGTTAACAGATGGCAAGTTTTTGAAAATCAAGTGAAGAATTTCTGTTAAACAAACAGCAAACTCTGTTAATTTTCAAGTCCTTAAAGAAAGGAAATAAAATTTAATGAAGAATAATTAGAACACAAAATGAAAACAACAATAAATTAATTTGTTTTTACAAGTTTGCTCAAAAGTGTTGCAATATCTTGGCCTTTGGTTTTACCTTGCCAACTCACTGATTTTTAAGGCCTAGACATATTCATTTTTAAAATGATACGTTGACACTTGTGACGTAAGAATACATCTGTACTGAAATTCTACTTTGCCATCTATTGTACTAGAATCTATTTGGTGTAGACCTTTATTCAACCTTTTACTAAAAATTTGTTCCGCAAAATTGTGCAAAAAATAATAATGCAAAAGCAGAATAGTTCAATGTTGTGCAAAATGAAGTTTGGGAATGATTGCACATTGCCATTTTTTTGTGCAAAAATTTAGCGCAACATAAGAAATAATTTCCGCTTTCTTTTTAAAAATTTTGCCAATGGAAACCCTAGTTTGAAATAGGTGCAGTTTTGTGTTTTTTTTCTGTTCTTTTTTTTACTGTTTGATTTGATGTCCTTTACACTAAAACACAGGTTAGAACTGACCCCTCAGTCACATTTGACACTAGTGATGTCATGCATAATATCTTGAAAATCTCATTACCACCTAGATTGAACCTGATAAACTAATTAATGTATCCTATGGTAAACCTTTTTAAGTTTAAGCATCTACAGAATTGGAGGAAGAAATTTTAGAAAAATGGAGATTTAAGAATTTACCTTGTTGTAGTTTATAGCTGCAGACATTCTGGTTCCCATGTACCATCTTTTATTTTTCCAATCCCAGATAACATCCTGTTTCAGAACAAATGTAAGCGCCAGCTGAGTTAATTTGTCTAAATTCCAGTAGATACATTTTATTTGTTGTCAATATATTATTTGTGTGATAGGTCTTGACCAAATATATATATCCATAACAAATTAAATAAATATGTTAGACCACAAAACATAAGATTAGACTTGTCAAGGAATAACAAACAAAGCTTCTGTGATCAAATATAATTAATTGGGGAGGTCACTGCGATACCTGCTGCAAGTTCCTGACCAAGCTGGTTGAACCAGTTTACCTGATCTCCTGTTCCTGCCCAAGCTGGTTGAACTGGTTTACTGGATCTCCTGTTTCTGACAAAGATGGTTGGACTGGTTTACCTGGTTTATATGATCTCCTGTTCCTGTCCAGGGTGGTTGAACTGGTTTACCTGTTCTTCTGTTCCTGACCAAGCTGGTTGAACCAGTTTATCTGATCTCCTATTTCTGACCAAGTTGGTTAAACTGGTATACCTGATCTCCTGTTCCTGACCAAGTTGGTTGAACTGGTTTATCTCCTACAGTAATTATTCTACCCTTTTCAACCCAGGAGACACCAAAGTCTTTACTGCATCCTAGAGCCACGGACTTGAAGGCCATACCTTTATAACAGATAAAGTTAGTAACTTTGAAAAATACCATTTTTTGTCATCATTTTAAGTTTTTGCCACAAAGCATCTATATAAAAACATTATTGTAAATATTCCTTTTTGGTAGAGAGTTTTTCAACTGCTTCAAAAAAACTGGATGAATCTCACAGAAAATATATTTTCATATTTTAAATATCCTTCTCAATTCTTGAGGTGTAGTGTTTAAGTTGGAACTGTAACAAATATTAACATGTTACTAAATCCATTTTTCAAGGGCTTATGCAAATATGTAAATTATAGCCCCCTAGCTTAATTATTAATCATTTTTGATTTTTTTATATACCGATCCCCCATTTGACTGTTCACCACCTTTCCATATGCATCAAAACAAAATTTAGCAACCTTTGTTCACAACTATAAAGTTGAAAAAGGGAAGAAGTTTTAGCGTTCTAATGTAATGTAAGCCCTTTTTAAGTTAGTACGAAAAACCACAGGGGGTGGAAAACATTCACAGTAAACTGCCAGGAGACCAACATGAAAACAGCCCTGCTATGGCTGCTCTCCTTCCGTTGAAAATTAACAGAAATCATATAGATATGTAATTGTTATGCTCAACTTGTCATATTTTTAACAGAAAAATAAATTAGTAGATTAGATTATATTAAGTGCACAATTTCGAAATACCCTGCTGCCAGCTGAATAATTGATGTGATTGATAATAATTGAGGTTAGCCGCAACAATCAGCCCACATTGCAGCCTACAGCAACTCAGAGGGCATAACCTATCCTTTGGGAAGTTGCCACTTGGGAAATTGTCACTTGGGAATTCGCCCTTGGGAAAATGTCTTTGAGAAATTATCTGTCACCTTTGATTATTACACTCTTGCTTAAGTATGGTCTGGCTAAGCATTCTAGCATTTTAAGATACAGCTTCTCAGTGCCTAGGCTTAAATAACAAGAACATCTTGGAGAGAGGTCTTACCCAGATAATGGTCTAGGATTAACTAATCTGTTCAGATGTGTTTGAACAACTTCGTTTGGTAAATTTAGTACCTGATGATCAAAAGAGAAAAAACCTTGTATATCCCTGCAAAGATTCCCTGGCAGTTGGGTATTTTAGAATATGATACTTTGACTTGTTTGTAAGTTCTCAATGAATCCATGCACTAAATAATTTGTCAATTTTTATTCATTAAATATAATTCTTCTTGGTATGTGGGCTCAAACCTAATATGACAAGTATTTTTTTGGACTTAAGTATAATATTAGACCTTATGTCGAATTAAATGATATATGTAATGGGTTTGAAATGTTTATTGAAAACTTATTACGAAATATATGGGAGCATCATTAAATTGTGAAGTTAATTTCTGTTCTGGAGCTGCTAAACAGCTGGTATGGATAAATCCTAGAACCCTGAGCTTCTCTGGGGCAAAACTGTGGAAGGATGCTGCTGTTGGGGAGCTGCTAGAAGCTGGTATAGATGAATCCTAGATACTGGAGCTTTCTGGTTCAGGACTGTTGAAGGCTGCTGTTGTAGGGGAGCAGCTCCTTAAAATAGAATCTGGGATTTGGATAGTTGTTTAATGTAGGCTGCTATGTGAAGGTTGCCTTGGTCCGGAAATGATGTTTTTATTTGGATTTTAGAGTATCAATTAAATGCCCTGTTGGTACAGTGTTGATTTGTGAACTCTGGAGCGGGGCAAGGGTCGGCCTCAACTGCTGATATGATCTTTTCAAGATTCCAAAGTTATTTTTTAAGGTGTAGTTTTAACCTTGAGCCTATAGGTAAAAAATATGCACACATATGGAGGCATGGCCTGTGCATGACAGTGGGGGGACTAACACCTGTTGATAGATCATGTATCAAATGTTAATTTAAGGCGACTGAAAATACATTTAACAAAATTTGACAAATGATTCTGCTAAGGTGTATTTGAGTCCAGTGCTCCAACAAATTTTGTTAGATGAAAATTTGAAATTTCTTAGAGTGCAATACACAGTATGTAAACAAAAATATATGCATTTTAACAATTTTATCATAAAAGCACAAATATCAATTTTAAAGAGTTTTTTGCATTCATTTGTAATTTTTACAAAAAAGGAGTTTAACTAAACTTATCAAACATGCAATTTTAAAATGAGATTTACATTTCAGATTATTGTGAAACCTCTTATAATCTTAAAAACTTTTATTATTAAAAATGGACTTAAAAACCATGCCCATCAATACATATAAATATCTAGGTATGTATTTTGTAATCTTTACCTCCAGCTCCTGGATATTGATCTTCAGTGTGGAAGAATCCAATCATGCTTCCCTTGGAATCCGTTAGATGAGCTTAACATTCAGATTATATTGTTGTGTTTATTCTGGGTCTAATTGATGAATTTGAATCTCCGACCGTCTGGTTGTATCCCTTTATTAACCTTTCTGCCCATGTCTCTCAGAGTATAAATCAATTGGGATTAATCAGTGTCATATTTTATTAAATAAATACATACAAACTTGATTCATTCCTCAATATATTTCAAACTGAAATTCATGTCCCTGTCCTAACATTTAATGTGTTTCAATAAGTTTGTGAGCTAGTGACTTCTCTCAGCCCTTTATCACTTTTTGCTGTTTTCTCAATTTTTCAAAGTTTGAAATAAAAATAATAGACCTGACATTAGCCACATGCCTCCGTTATTGTATGCATCAGAGTTCAATTTTCCCCCAGCTATTTTGTGCCTTCAAACATCATTAATTAAGAAGAAGTTTATTGAAAAATCAGGGGTTTATTTTTTATGTAGAAATCTGCCCAACCTCTTTTTGAAAATACCTGTATACAATCCTAGTTGTGAGACACTTAATTGCTCCAAAGTTTTCTGAATTTGATAAATTTCTCAGTGCTTAACTTAACTAGCAATCCACCCTTTTTTAAAATGAACTTTAACATAAACTTCCATCATAAGTAAAAGATAATACTTACGGTGGACTTAATATCCGACTTTGGTCTGGTAAAGGAACTGGCCCAATGGTTCTGTAGAAATATCAATTTAAGAATCTTTTTGGAGGTCTCTCCAAAATAGTAATACCTGAAGCTTTCATGATTTGGATAGAAAATAATCCACTCTCCAGTCTTACTATCTTTTAATGTTGATAAATGTCCATCTTCAGGAAACAATAGAAGTTCAGCAATTTTATATATTTCTCTATGAAACAATGCTCTAGTAACCCAATTCTGTAATTCTGTAGTGTAGATAAGACCATTTCAATGAATACTGGAAATTTTAGAGTAGCTTGTATCGATGCATAATTATGTATCTCTTTCTAAAAAGAATTGTGCTACTATTTTGTATTTTAGGACAGTTTGTATCTTTTTCTACAGAGTAATTTGTATCTATTTTTACAGAGTAGTTCATATCTGTTTCTATATGTAATCCTGGCATCCATGAGTAGGTTGGCCAACCAACTTTATTGGGAACTGTTTCTGCAACCACACCTGGGAAACTCCAAGCCCAGATTACGGCAGGGTTAGTGTCTGGGTATACAGTTGTAAAAAGATCACTTTCAGGGTTATAATCACACCCATTTCCTAAACATACTTACAATCAAGGTGGCATAGAATGCATGGTGGGGGCTTAGATTCAGCTTCAAGGGTGGGGGTGGGGTCTCTCTAAAAACAGACAGTAGTTGGGGTAGTAAGGGTAGTTGCCATTTAGATTCAGCTTCAAGGGTGGGGGTGGGGTCTCTCTAAAAACATACGGTAGTTGGGGTAGTAAGGGTATAGTTGCCATTCAGATTCACCTTCAAGGGTGGGGGGTGGGGTCTCTCTAATAAACAGACCCATCCCCACTCTTACCATGGGTTTATTCTATGTGCAAAGTATACAATATGGGTATCGATTCCCACTAAATCAATTGTTTTCAGCTTGTTTCTGGAATTATTAATACTCTCCGACCACTGCTATCCGCACTACCCCTCTTCTGAAGGATACACAGTTTAAAGTTGAAAAACTGGGTTTTTATACTTACTGGGGGTTGTCCCCCCTAAAAAAAAAAAAAATTTAAGCCCCCTTCCTGGGGAAAAAACCTGAATACGCCTCTCTTAATATCTTTAAAACTGTGTCTAGTTCTCAACCTTTCTTAAATCTGTCAAAATACAAAAGTGAAGACCAAGAGATTTATTTCGAAGATCTTCATTTTTCGGTATCACAAATTGTGCATTCCTTGTTTTACAGATTAGGCATGCAGGCATTATTGTGCTGTCTGAAATTATTAATTGTGCAGTAAAATGGCTAATTTCACATCTGAAATCTTGATCCAACTATGAGTTTGGCCCACTTAAGTACTTTGGCTAATCTTAAGTTTCCATGTCCCATTGGAAATCACTAGAGATGAGTTTGTGTTCAGACTTCTGTTTTCATTTAATCCTGTTGATAGATGGGGTAGGATAGAAAAAGGGAGGATAGGAAAAGAAATCATTTTCTATTCTCTTATTTAACAAAACCTAGATTTTTGGAAATAATTCTGCAGATAATTTATTCCTTATATTTTAGTTAGCGAAATCGCCAAAAATGGGTATTCTATTCTTTAAAATAAAAAATTATTATTATTATATAGAATTACCACAAACATGTTACCTCCATTTTCTGTGTCAGCATAATCTCCATATAAACCTGGAAATAAAAGTGGTTATAAAAAAGAAAAGAAAAGTAAGTAAAAAAATTGTTTATTTTTGAAATATAACAAAAACATACAAAATAAAGTGTTTCAGGAGAAAATATTTAAAAATCTCTAAAAGTAGAGGTTTTGGGAATATTTCCCCCCAATTCTCAAAAAAATATAAAAATAGAGATAAAAAGAAAAGGAGAGAAAAGGATAAGGAAAGTTACAAATTTATTGTTTACACTATATTTAATATAAATTAGAGGTGGATTGTTAGTAGGGCTGGGCGCGTTAACGGTGGAACGATCGTTCTTTGCTGAGAACGAACAGAACGATCAAGAACGATACCATCGTTCCGAAAAAAAAACGAACGCTCAGAACGCGTTCTTCAAAATATTGGAACAATTAGTAAAAGAACGGAACGGAACAGAACAGAACGGGAATTGCTTGAAAAGAATGGTTAAAATCGTTAAGGCATTCTTATTATCAAGAACTTGTTCTAAGTTGGGAACGCATTTTAAATCAGGAATGTGTTCTAAATCATCTAGAAATAGTTAAAGATTTTTTTATTGGAACGAGAACGGAACGATTTAGCTGAAGGCCCTCGTTCTAGAACGGAACGGAACGATTTCAAAAAAGTCGGAACGTGCCCAGCCCTAATTGTTAGTATTTTTCGACAATGAACTAAGAACTTTTAGAAATAAAAATTATAGATTTATTTGTTTAAAACACAGTTGCCTTTATTTGTTTAAAACACAGTTGCCTGCTTTCTCTCAAGCAGAATGGACCTACTATGTAGTAGTCCCAGAATTACAGCTGGGGAAGCGCTGAGTTTAGTTACGCATCTTGTATCCTACAGGGGAAGCTGAAAACAAAATTTCATCTTCAGCTTGGTGCACTGAAAGAGGAGTTTAACCCCTCATGGGAATACAAGCCATGCACAACGATACCGGTTTTTTACTCAACCAGATGTGAGGACTGGACTGCCATGGAAGATACCTCTCAAGAGAGCTTTCAGGGATCACAACTCCCTATGTCGCATATGGGTAAATTCCTTAATTCCCCTAACTGGGAAACAGTATAAAATGAAGGAACACAGGGAGAAATTCCCTATACCCTTCTTCCTCCAAACCTCCTTATCTCTATCTTACATGCTCCACAACTAGATGTTAAAAGAACTATTTGGAAAGGACTTAAAGTGTAAAAACCAAGAAACAAGAAGCAAGAAGAAAAAAGAAATTGAACAGTGGAAGGGGAATCTCTTGACATTAGAGATGGCTGCTTAAAGAAAGATAAACAAGAAAGAAGAAGAAAACTTTGAACAGGAAAAATTAGAAGGGGATTTGATCTTCACACCATCTATTGTTTTTCACTGATAGCGACTAAAGACAAATACACAGGATGGCAGACGTCCCATCCCCCCCCCCTCTATGTCCTACTCGAGATAAAAAACTGGAAAATGTGTAAAACGGCCCCCTCAACCCTCTCCCCTCCATCAAGAAAATTTTATTGAAAGTGTGTTATGAACATGACTGAAGCAAAATTTAAAAACAAACAAGACAGGATATAGATACAGGGCTCCATAAAATAGTTCTGCCTCTGCAATTTGGCTAGCTGCAGAAAACATCCAACCAATTCATTTATTTTTATTTTTAAAATTAGCCAAAGTATGATTGAAGGATGGACAAGGAATGGATGATCAAGTAGAAAGAATGAAAGACAAGAAATATAAAAGTCTAAAAATGTTTCCATCTGATATCATATTGAAATTTAAAAATATTGTAAACTTTAATTGAAATAAATTATTAAAGTTAAAAATTTGTTTAAAACATTTGTTCTGCTGATAAAAATCTTCTATTAAATTCTGTTTAAAATTCAAAATAAGATTGAGATTTGAAAGCTTAGAAATGTGTCGTTTATTTTCATACCATATTTTAGGAAAATTGTGAGGGGGGAGCAATTCAATGTTAATAGATTTTATTCTGGGAATATAAAAATCATAATTACATAGAGAACAGATACAGTGGATACTTTTTCTAATAAAACTCTGGATTTAAGAAAAAATGTAATTTAGATTAATTAAATGTTTGAAGAAAAAAACTTTATATAAGATTCTTTAGATTTCAGTTCATATTTCGTTTTTTTTTTGTAAAGTGTAGACTAAGATCCTAAAAAGTTATTTATTTCTACATCTTTCAGATCTTATTCTCTATGATACTTTAATATCAAATGCCCTTTAGATTAGGTTCCTATAGATTAGATTCTTAAACATCAAATATGCTTAAACATTTACAAGACGAAAATAACAATTTTGATTTTAAAACAATTTGGTAACCAGAGACTAGGGCTGGGCAAACCTCCGTTAATGGAACAGAGGATATTAACGTTAAGGATTACCATTTTTGAAAAAAAATTTAATAATTTTCTTTTTTTCTGCTTAAAATTGCTTTGAAGTGTTTTAATATTTTTGAATGTTGTCTCTATGTTCTCAACCTTAAATGCTGAGAATAGATAGCAGCAACCTTTGAATTTTCATAAAAAAATAATTGTCCAGCCGTTCTCCTCAGAATATGAAAAAAAAGTTGATTTGGATATTTAGATACTAATCAGTTCGGAGAAAAGGATAAATATAGTTCAACTGCGAGTGCCGTTAACAATTTGACAAACCGGTACTTCCCTTAATACTACAAAAGACTGTTAACCACTACACCGTTAACGATTTCATAACAATTAACAATAGAATTTTTGCTGCTTAGTGCTATTAACACTGAAATATACCACTAACAATTTCTTTAACCATTAACAATTTTTTTTGTTGCTTCGCACAATTAACAATGTAATAGACCATAACAAGTTGAGCCGTTAATAATTTTTGAAAATTTTCCGTTAACGCCATTGATAAAATTGAAATTGTTAACTAATGGTAATTTTTAAAAAATTATCGGCTACTTGAAATTTTTCTTTTTTAAATGTTGGAACTATAAACCCTTAATGAAATGGCTACAAAAAGTTGGAACATGCAGTTAGGGTTTCCAACGCAAGTGGATTTTACTTGCGTGTAATTGCGAGCCCTTGCGCGCAAGTGAATTTAAATGCTTGCAATTACATCCAACTTTCTTCCATTTGTGTTTTAATTTTTTGATAAAATTCAATTTAAACCTTATGGCACGCAATAAATGCAATTCATTATTGCGCAATTCCTTTCAACAACAAAAAAATCAATTTAAACTTTGGTAGTGGCAAACAATAAACTGAACTTCACTAACATTTCAGTCTCAAATGCTTAATCTTTTTTTGTTATTTGCAGCATGATAACCAGAAAATTCTAGCATAGGAAGACGATAGTTTAGACTCAAGCAGGCCCATGTAACTGGATAAGTGATCTTATAAGTTACTAATTAATTTTGTTTGACTTGTAACTACATCAAATACACTGTGATGTTGTCTTTCTCCATAGTTTTCTTGTTCTCACTATAGCAAAATATCTAGTTTCCAATAAACAAACCTTACAATTTTAACCAAAAAAAGTTTCCATTTTAATGTTCATCCAATGTGAACAAATACAAAATGTATCATATTAAATTTTTAAATAGTAGCTTAACCACAAGAAACTTTAAAATTTGAAAACTGTGGAAACAAGTGACACTCGGGCCTCGTTTTTCTTAAAATGAACGGAAATATTTAATTCCATTCTTGTATTTGCTGCATAAAATTGTAAGTCGAACAGTTAAAATTATTAATTTTTAGATGTAATTCCGCAAATATATAATTGCTTCCTTTTTCGCAATTATAGTGCAATTGCATGCAATGAAATAGCGCAAGCAGACGAAAACATTGCACGCAATTCCGATTGGAAACCCTACATGCCCAACCCTACCAGAGACAGGCTATCCTAAGAGAATTTTTATCTTATATATATATACAATACATCCTTATACATAAGTAGGTGGTTGGCTCACACTGAAATAAGCTAGTGAGGTAGGTCAAATAGGCCTAGGATAGGCCAGGTACTTTAAAAACTCTGGCCTATCAAAGTTAAACCTGAACCGTATAGAATTATGGTCAGGCCAGTACTTGACTTGCTGCGCGTCACTCAGACCAGTATAAGAGTCTGGTCTGGTCTGGTCCAGTTCAAATTCAAGCTGACCCCATTGTCCATAGAGGGCTACAGGAGATAAGCCATTTTGCAATTTTATAGCAATTTTAAAGACCTCTTTAATATTTTTTTTAAAAATTTATTTTTCCTATGTTCTGTCTGTAATTTATCCTTTCTAAAGGTAAAAATGTGTTTTTAATAAAGTACAGGGTGTCCCAAAAAACATGGGAATTTAGTGACGAATTCGATGTCGTCTTATTTAAGGATTAGTATTGTAATACCTGATGTAAAGACATATTATGTAATTTCGTCTGCTAGAGTATATTTTACGTAAACTTTAATAAAATGCTGTATTATTATTCTGTGTCTTAACACGAAAACTATGAACACTGAACAGCCCTGAAAAGTATTTTAATGAGATTGAAATGTTTGTGTACAAAACTAATTGTACTGCGGTGTACAATTATTTAAAATAAGAATATCACATTCATTCTTGATCAGACAAAGGTTTTAAGAGTACTGTTGTGAATCGGAAACGCCACTGTAAAAATTTAATTTCACTGGAAATTTTGCCTGAAGGTAAAATTAAACCCAACCTTACTCCAGGTTCCATTATCAATTAAACCCAACCTTACTCCAGGTCCCAGTATCAATTAAACCCAACCTTACTCCAGGTATCAGTATCTTTGGTCTTTGTATTTTTCTGCAGAATTTTGAATAATTATTATTTTGTTTCAGTTGATGGTGTTTGCCGGTACCTGTAAGGGAAGACTCTTTGGTTTAAAATTTATACACGGAAATATGAATTCCCAGATGCACCAAGAATTGGTTAAGGAGGAGTGCATTCCCCAGTAGATGCACTGCAAACAACGGATCACTTGAAGGGACCATATTTCATAAGTTTTAGAAAATAAGGAGACGCTATTCATCCTTTTTTTAAGGCAAGGCCAGGGCAACGATGTTAAAGTGACTGTTGACGTAATTTCAACCTTCTGGTTTAGCCATGCTTAAAATTATGTCTACTGTTCTTTTAAGTGTTTAAAAGTGAGTTGTTTTTATAAAGGAGGGTGGGGTCTTTTTTAGTTAGCCTTTAAAGAATTAAAACACACCAAATTGACTATTATGATTGCCAAAAATTTACTTTTATGATTACCAAAAATTTAAACTTCAAAGTTTCTTATGATCTTCTAAAAAATCGAAATATGGTTTAACGTAGGAATAATTTGGCAACAGGATTGTGCTACCATCCACAGAAATCCTAGATTCATGGAATACCTCGACCATCAATTTGATGGTCGAGTTTAGTATCTGGTCCATAATGAAAAGGATGGTCTTCATCAGTCCTCTCCCCATCTCCTTGGACAAACTTGAAGAGTTAATCACAGAGGTGGTAGATCAACTTAACGGAGATCCAGAGCTGATTAAAAAATGTCACGTCAGCGTGCGGAGACGTGCACAGATGTGCATGGAGCAAATAGGGGGCCATTTTGAATTCTTGAGATAAAGAATGCATAAAACTATATTGTAAATTTATTGTTCAAATAAAAAAATAGTTGTTTACATCAATTGTTTAATTAAGTAGATTTTGGTCAAAAATGAATTTAGTCCTCACTCCTGGGATTATTCCTCCTTGCTTCCGAACCTCCTCCCTGTACACTCTTATCCAGACAAAATCTAGGTTCTTGTCAAACGGGAAGCTTATCTCGCATTCTAAAAAGGAAATTCAATAACAATGAAAGGTTTCAATGCAATCAAGTAAAATAAAAAACTTACCAATTTGGGGTCCCTCGCCAGAGTTGTGAATTCTAACTTCCACCTCCTTTCTTTCAAACTTGATTAAAGGGCCCAATGAATATTCCCATTCTTTGGCAATATGTCCAACCTAATATGAAAATTACAGTGTGAAATTGAAGAAATGGAAAAGAAGTAAGAATTGTTAATAATACAAAAAGAAATATTTAAGGGGTTTGAGTAATTGTAAAGTAATTGTCTCCATTTATAAAGTGGCATTTCCGATTCACAATGAACAATAGTACACTTTAAAACCTTTTTAGTTAACGAGTTTAAGGGTACTGTTGTGAATCGTGTATGCCACTCTTTTTAAATAAAAGGTCACTTAAAAGCCCGACTATAGTCTCTTATTAAAGTTAATGAACAGGAAATGAAAAAACGAGGAATTTGGTTAAAGAAATGACGAAAATATGGCGGAATCAAGAAAGAGAAATATGGCTAATTAAGGAAATGTAAAGACATGCTTACCGTTCGGTTAAACGAATCTTTGACAGCATTGCTGTATCGACTGGGGTTTTCCAACATCCAGAATTGGTCAAGTTTACAACTTAAAATATCTCCTGGCTTAACTTGTCTTTTATAGACATGTAAACCTCGTATCACGGTCTTCTGTTTGGTTGTACGCATATTTTCTGCAATAATTATTTATTTCTTTAAAATTTCTGCAGTATGAACAGTGTACTTTATTTTTACTCGAAATCTTCTAATTTTATTCAGCACATTCGTATTGAACCAAAACATAAACAAACAACAATATTTAAACTCTAGCAGACGAAAAATTCACCGGGATGACAGCTTTCATATAAGTACTAAGTAGGTATCGCTATACTAAATCATAAATCTTATACAAAGCCGACTTCGAATTCGTCACTGAATTCCTATGTTTTTTGGGACACCCTGTATTTGAGAAGAGAAAGGCTTTCTCATTGGTGTACCTTCTGGTTCTACTGGTTTGAGTCCATCCTTTGTCTTAATCCGATTCCTCTTACAATTTCCTTCTCAGACATCATTTTTAATCAAATTTAAACGTTTTTGGGTTTTTCATTCAGCAAATATGGTAGCAATCCCCATATTTGTTAACCTGAGCATATCTAGATATATTAAATATGAGCTACGTAATATCATTAAAACATGCAGTGTGATTAGAATAACTACAATTATAAAAATCAATACTAATCCTTTAAATATGTACATTCAACATAAACTACACTGTGAACATGTGTGGAGATAGCTCCACTACGTTATATCTATCCTCGCTAATCCTATAAATATGTACATTATACTTTAACTGTGCGGTAAATATGTAACATGATTGTCTTAATCATGTGATATAGATACGACGTAGGAATTAGTAGTAAAGTTAGTTGATATAGTAACTCTGTACTGTTGATTGCGAGAGAGTAATCATTCCTTGTTTTAATAAACAGGCTGAAGATTGTCCTATTTAATTTGGGATTGATAAGTAATAGCTTGTTACATAGCTACACTTGTGTCCCTTTGTGGCATTTAGAGCCTGGATTAATAGCTTCTTGGATAGCTATGCTTGTGTCCCTGTGTGGTATTCAGAGCCTGGATTAATAACTTGCTTCATAGCTACACTTGTGTCCCTGTGTGGCATTTAGAGCCTGGATTAATAACTTGTTTCATAGCTACGCTTGTGTCCCTGTGTGGCATTTAGAGCCTGGATTAATAGCTTGTTTCATAGCTATGCTGTGTCCCTGTGTGGCATTTAGAGCCTGGATTAATTGCTTGTTTCATAGCTACGCTTGTGTCCCTGTGTGGTATTTAGAGCCTGGATTAATAGCTTCTTGGATAGCTACGCTTGTGTCCCAGTGTGGCATTTAGAGACTGGATTAATAGATTGCTGGAAAGCTACGCTTGTGTTCCTATGTGGTATTTGGAGCCTGGGTTTTCCCCCTTTTATTTGGGATCGATAACTAATATCTTGTTGAATAGCTTCGCTTGTGTCCCTGTGTGGCATTAAGAGCCTGGATTAATAGCTTGTTGGATAGCTACGCTGGTGTCCCTGTGTGGCATTCAGAGTCTGGATTTTTCACTTTTCATTTGGGATCAATGAGTAATGTGGGGCATTAAGAGCCTGCATTAATAGCTTGTTTAATAGCTATGCTTGTGTCCCTGTGTGGTATTTAGAGCCTGGATTAATAGCTTCTTGGATAGCTACGCTTGTGTCCCTGTGTGTTATTTAGAGCCTGAATTAATAGCTTCTTGGATAGCTACGCTTGTGTACCTATGTTTCATAGCTACGCTTGTGTCCCTGTGTGGTATTTAGAGCCTGGATTAATAGCTTCTTCGATAGCTACGCTTGTGTCCCAGTGTGGCATTCAGAGCCTGGATTAAATACTTGTTTCATAGCTACACTTGTGTCCCTGTGTGGCATTTAGAGCTTGGATTAATAGCTTCTTGGATAGCTACGCTTGTGTCCCTGTGTGGTATTTAGAGCCTGGATTAATAGCTTCTTGGATAGCTACGCTTGTGTTCCTGTGTGGTATTTAGAGTCTGGATTAATAGATTGCTTGAAAGCTACGCTTGTGTTCCTATGTGGTATTTGGAGCCTGGATTTTCCCCCTTTAATTTGGGATCGATAATTAATATCTGGTTGAATAGCTTCGCTTGTGTCCCTGTGTGGCATTAAGAGCCTGGATTAATAGCTTGTTGGATAGCTACGCTTGTGTCCCTGTGTGGCATTCGGAGTCTGGATTTTACAATTTTAATTTGGGATCAATAAGTAATATCTTGTTTGATAGCTACACTTGTGTCCCTGTGTGGCATTTAGAGCCTGGACTAATAACTTCTTGAATAGCTACGCTTGTGTCCCTGTGTGGTATTTGGAGCCTGGATTTTTCCCCTTTAATTTGGGATCGATAAGTAATATTTTGTTGGATAACTATGCTTGTGTCCCTTTGTGAACATTAGTTGTTCTTTTGTCATTGAGTACTTCTGGTGTACATGAGTTCTGTAGAGATAACTTTAAGTTAGTTTAGTCCTTCTCATGTCCTTCTTCAGTTATCGTCAATATGAAATATTGCTCAGTGAAATATTGTTGTTTAAATAGTTCCATTTCCGGAATTATTTTACAACCTATCATGAAATCCATTAAAACACCAAACCACCCCGCTTATCATTGAAATACACTTTGACCCCTAGAAGTATGAGTTCGCGGACTGTACAATTCTTGGCGATTTGGCGTACATACGCTATCTATGTTTATTTATTTATCTTTGTCCTATTCCCTTTATTCTTGTTCTCTGGTTTTGTTCCATGATAATCTTTTAAATTTCGGGCTCTCTGTACACAATTAAGTACTTTCCACTGATTTTATCCAAAAGGTCATGCAATACAGTTTAATCTGTACATACAGTACGCGGGGTATGTACATGTAGACTTCAAATCAAACAATTGTTTTTTGAATATCTGGAATTATACAAAAATAGGGTGGCTTGGGGACTCCCCCCCCCCCCCAACCTATTTCTTTTATTATTCATCCGCAGCCCTGCCCACTAATTTCAGAGCCTTTAAAAAAAGAAAAATACATGCAATAAACTCAAGGTACTAATGCAAAGAAAGTTATTTCAGAGGTGTACGCATTTTTTGTACTGCAGTGTACTGTCTTTGGGCGGAAAAGTAAACACAAGACGGATTCCACAGCCTGACATGGAATCCATTTTCACAAAAATAATCTATGAAATATTCTGGTCATATGAAACTGTTAAGTGAATTATCAAAATATAATCCTCCTCGGATACTAAACGAACATTGAGCCATTTTACATTATTTACAAATTCCGCTCAGAGAGAACTGGTTTCAATATGTACGCAGAGTATTCACAATCGCAATTAACTTTCCTTGCATTAGTATCTTGCTATAAACTTATAGGTTTACCCATAAAGGATGAGACTTTAGAGACGTTTGTACAGAATGTATACCATCTGTTTTCCTATATTCATGATTTCCTACAATTAATTGTAACCATGCTTCTTTCTTTGACAAATCATTAAATAAGCCGATCTCTCTATACCTAATCAAACATACAATGCCACCCCCTGAAAAATACTCTTGGGAAATTGCCTTTTGGAAAAAAGCCTTTGAGAAAGTACCTATCATCAGTATGGCTGTATACAGGGCACTGAAGTACTTTTTTAAGATTTTCAGAAGCAGAAGCAGAAACCTATGTAATTGCTGCACTTTCTCTTTATTGGTTGAATATTTGTATATGTTTCAATGTGAAGGGCCTTTTTTTAGAAACAGTTTTCACAATATACAAAGTTTTACAGCGTTATGTCATTTTACAAAGTGTTTTCTATAAACAAATAATTAAAATAATTAAAAGTCGACGTGTCTTCACTGCTATTTGGTTTTCACTGTAAAAAAGAAAGTTTGTTATGTAAAAATGATTCCTGAGAGAAAGAGTGTGAATAGTACAGTAAGGTACGTTGCAATTTGGCTCCGCATAATTAACTGACTTTTAAAATTTTGTCAAAATTTGTTTTTAGAATATATCTTTAAAGCTTAATTAGGAAATCTGACCTTTATTTAAGATTATTTATAAAATTAACACCATTTTACCCAATAATTAGTTTCCTTTCTTAAATATTCCTTTGTCATTTCTTTCAATCAGTTATGCACTGAAAAGTAGTTTAGTATTCGATTCTTTTGCAAACATAGCATGTGTTAGAATTAAAACATTTGTTCTCCTGATAAAAATCTTCTATTAAATTCTGTTTAAAATTCGAAATATGATTGATATTTGAAAGCTTAGAGAAGTGTTGTTTATTTTATATTATATTTTAGGGAAATTGTGAGGGGGGAGCAGTCCAATTTTAATAGATTTTATTCTAGGAATATAAAAATCATTTCATTTCCTTTCAATTGAAATAAAAAATTTTATGACATTAAAAATTTCTAATTTTCTGAAGGGGAGTATGTTTAAATCTCAAAAAGCTTTGCTGTGTGACTTATTCTAGGTAACCCAATCAAAAGACGGATAGCTTTATTTTGCAGTGATTCTTTCTTATCAATATTTTTGTTTGAAGTTAGCATTAGGAATGTTGAACTAAATTCTAAATGGTAGTGGAAAAAGAGTAATAGCGCAATTTCATGGCATAAAATGAAAAAGTTAACTACTTGTATATCTTTTAAAATAGTCATTAAAATTCAATTTTGTGTCCAGCCATATTCCCAAGAATCTAACTGAATCTGTTTCTTTTATTCGTTCAATTTTTTGTGCAGATTCTCCTAATTTAAAGAAAACATCAGGACAGTCGTTTTGTGCATTTAGAGAATTTGAAAATACAATTGCATAATCATCCCACTGGAGGAATTCAAATAACATAGTAAATATAATTCCTTCTTAGGGAATTAGATATCCTTCCTTTGGGTATAAAATTCCCCTGGAGGGATTCAGAAATACCTCTATACCTCGAATTATATACCCCTCTGAATTCCTCCGGAAAGGATATATATATCCCTCCAATGGGTTTTTAAACCCACGGAAAGGATATCTGAATTCCTCCAGTGGAATTTATAAACACCTTAGAAAGATATCTGAATCTATTCAGTGGAATTATAAACCACCTGAAACGATTTATGAATCCCTCCATGGAATTATAAAACTCTGGAAGCGTATCTTAATTTTTCCTGTGAGATAATAACCCCCTGATCTGAATCCTTACAGTGGAATTATAAACCCCCTGGAAGGATATCTGAGTCCCTCCAGTGGAATAATAAACCCCTAGGAAAGATATCTGAATCCTTCCAGTGGATTGTAAATCACCCTGCGGAAAGTTTTAAATTGTAAGTCGTGATTTTTCAAACTTCTCCAGTGAAACCGAAATCCCTCCGGTGGTCTCCAGTGGAATCAAAATCTTACTACGAACTTCTTTGATTGGAAAAGGCTATTTCTCTTGTTTCTACGTACCTAACCTACAAAGCGTCCCAAATCATATTCAACAATATCTAAGCTTAAACGTCAAAATATGCACATAACACTCGAAAAAAAAGTATTTAATAATTCTGCATACAAACTATTATATAAGCCTTATAGAATTGTCTTTATTGATTCATTCTTTCTAAATTTTCTGATTTGTACCAAAAATCGCAATTAAAAGCTGTAAAACATTATTAAAACGCTATTTCTTCTAACGCTGCCAAATAAATTGCTACTAAAAGATAAAAACTCCATTCTATCATAATATCGTAATTTTAGGGTTAAATCTAAAATTGAATTCTCACCTATCTGTTACTTAAAAAAAATAGTTTGTTTAAAATTTGTATTGTTTTCAGAACAGAAAATATATATATTTAAATTAATGTCGAATTAACTTTCATTATGAGAAAAAACACATTTCCATGGTGTTTCAGGATTGTCAGAACTTCATTTTTGTGATCAACCAAAGCGAGGAGGTCGTTTTTGAGGTTGAAAAGTTGTAAAAGAGCTGGGCGACCCAAGGAGTAAGCTGATAATCTCTTTCTTTCTCATCTTTACCTGAAAAATATTAAAAGTCAAGTAGTTTTAAATTTTAACTTTTATACTGTAATTCAACTTTAACACATTTTAGTCATTTTTTATTGCTTGAAGATGTTCAGGGTAATAATAATGATAATAACAATGAGTATGATAATGAGGAAAGTAAATAATAATAATTATAATGTTAATAATAATAATAATAATAATGATAATAATAGTATCAATAATAATAATAATGATAATAATAATAATAATAATAATGATAATAATAGTATCAATAATAATAATAATGATAATAATAATAATAATAATAATAATAATCATAGATAGATATAATTGATACTTTGAGTAGAATTAGTTTTTAAAAAACTAATTTTTGTTGTTGTAAAGTCATTATAGCTTAAATTGATTTATCATTGTTTTATTTACAAGCCTAAAATTAAGCTCATTGAATCGGAAATTGTACGAAGATTTTAAAATTGGTCTCAATCTTGAAAATCCGATTTGATCGTCCAGTTCATAGTTTGATATATTAAAGGTCTATGCCATCAGAATTCAAAGAAAGAGTTTTAGATTTTTGTAACCAGTGACCAAATTTAAAGAATTTAAGCGGCGGTTTAAATTTAAGCTGCGGCTTTAATATGGTTGGTTCCACTTAAAATTGTATCAAATGTTTAAAGATTTAAGCCGGCGCTAAATTTAAACTGGGTTTTGGCGGATTTTGGCGGATTTAAACCGCGACTCAAATTCTTTACATTCCATCTCATAATTATTTTATAGATAAATAAAAAAACATGGGGAGTGAGAACCTTTGATATTTGATTATTTGATCTAACAGAAATCTTTATATAAATATTACTAAAGTTTGCAACTTTTGGATTAAAAAGATAAAGGGACTGGAAAATCAGAGTTTGTGGCGAAGACTTGTTCCTTTTATATTATCACAGATTACCTAGGCTTACCTTAGGCTGATTGTAGAAGAGTTGGGCTTAGGGTTTCCACGAAATGGCAAAATCTTTTGCGCAAAATTTGCGCTATTTTCGCGCACATTTTTTTGCGAACTTTTGCGCTATTTTTGTGCATGAAACGCAATGAGTTTTGCGCAATTTGCCAAAACCGGAAATATTTTTTGCGAAAGTTGCGCATGAAACGAAATTTTAGTTCTGCGCAATTTGCGCAAAACCGCAAGTTTTACGCGAAATGTAACTTTTTAGGAAAATTGTCAAAAATTGATATTCTAAACTTAGAATTAAACAACTGAAGATTTATTCCATACATAAAAAAATATTAACATACAAGTATGATAACGATTGTACTACACTCAATTGGTTGCTTCCAGTTACAAAAAGTTTAAATTAAGGGACCAAAATTAATAAAATAGAAATTAGAGAGTGTGAAGCTTGGCAATATTTTAATCCTATTTAATAATTTCAAGTGACCCTTAAAAGCTTTGCCTAATCAAGTATGAATTATATTCTTAAATTTTTTTAATCAAATTTCTGAAATCTTTTTTAATCTCATATAAAATAATGCAAGAAAGTAACCAATGCCTAAAGAATCCACTTTTAGGAAATATGCATGTCCAAAACTAAAATTGTCGAGACTTTTACTAAACAATCTGTTTCGGATTTTGGTACGAAATTGCGGAATTGCGCAAAACTTGAGTTTCGCAAAAGCGGAATAGGGCAATTTTGCGCGAAATGACTTTTGCGAATGATTGCGCAAATTGTTGTTTTTTTTCGCGCAAAACTGATGCGCAAAAAAAGAAAAATTTTGCTTTTCGTTCCGCAAAAATTGCGCAAAAGTTGTGCTAATGGAAACCCTGTGATTACCTCGATTTTTAGATTTAAAATTTTGATAAGAATGAGTGTATTTCTGTATAGTGTGTCTGAATAAATCATACTCAACTAAAACATGCAATATAGATTGTCTGAACATCATTTACCATTTAGAGCTGGAGTTGAAACGTCTGCACTTGGCGCATTGACATCATACGGTACAGCTGACGCAATTATCCTGTATGGTATACAGCTGGCGCAATTACCCCGTATGGTACAGCTGGAGCATAGGGTTTCCACAAAATGGCTTAATCTTTTGCGCAAATTTTTTTTTTTGCGAACTTTTGCGAAATTTTAGTTTTGCGCAATTTGCGCAAAACCGTAAGTTTTACACAAAATGTAACTTTTTAGGCAAATTGTCAAAAATTGATATTCTAAGCTTAGAATTAAACAACTGAAGATTTATTCCATACATAAAAAAAAATATTATCATACGAGTATGATTATGATTATACTACACAAAAAGTTTAAATTAAGGGACCAAAATTAATATAATAGAAATTAATCCTATTAAATAATTTCAAGTGACCCTTAAAAGCTTTGCCTAATCAAGTTTGAATTATATTCTTAATTTTTTTTAATCAAATTTCTGAAATCTTTTTAATTCTTATAAAATAATGCAAGAAAGTAACCAATGAATGAAGAATCCACTTTTAGGAAATATGCATGTCCAAAACTAAAATTGTCGAGAAAATTGTGAGATTTGAACTCTTCTTAACTGTCATTGGTCAATTATGTAATAGTGACCAATAGGAAGACATTCCAAAACAAGATTGTACAAAAAATAATCTTTTAATATTAATTGACTTTAAAAAGGAAAAAATTCAAAAATTTAAACGTGCGGGAATAGGTAACAAAATTCTTTTAGCTTTAAGATAAAAATCAATGCTTTAAAACTCGTTTTAAGTGTAAAATTTTGTCTTGCTAGATTTAATAATTACTTTAAATGAGCTGACCGCGGTGATAAAGAGGTAGTAATTAATATCTTCCAAATAAATGTAAATTGCAACTAATTATTTATCAAAAAACTTATTCTGATTCATCAAGTGTGTATGAAGTATATAATTTTGATATTAATGTTTTTTTCTAAAATTCCTTTGACCACTTTTAATTTAGACTTTTATATGAAATCATTAATTTTGTTGATTAAATTCAGATTTTTTCTTTATTCG